AACTAGTGATGGGCGGATCGATACGAAGTATCGATATATCGATATTGACGTCGAGAATCAAAAGTATCGATACTCAAATGAAAATATCGATACTACAGGGTTTTTTTTTCTACCAGTAATTTTGTATATTTGACAAGAAATCTAATGCTTACAATATGCATTCAATTGGATGAATAATTTTAGTAAATAATTGTTTAGTAGAACCACTTCCCTGTTCATCTGAACTGAACACACGCAAATGCTGCAAGTCAGAACCAATCAATCGCAGAGAGCGTTCACACACTGCCGACAATGCATTCCAACGACTGATCTATAAACTGTCATTAGATTGACGTATAACAGAAGACGTATGTTTGAGCTACTTCACAATAAACAAATTGTACCCTACATACTTTGTGCAATTGAATTGTTTTAAATTGAATGTTAAAAATCGATACCGATGTTCTATTTGTAAACTAATAAAGGTTACATTTTATTGGTGCAACAGCCTGTCACTGGCAGTCCCTTATGAAAATGAACATTACATTGACCATAGTTCAAATAGGCCTATAATATTTTGTAGATTGTCATGGTTACCACAACAAGTAAACATTTTAACCATGTGTAAATAAAAATATAATTAATATCAATCGGTTGTGGGAAGTTCATCTAGAAGTTGATGAGTGTTTTTTGTTTACTATATTTTGCTATAAAAATAGTTTACCAAATAAATAATTTACCAAATAAAATAAAAATAAAACAAGGTGACGTATAGTATTTGGGTTTATTTATTATACAAAGCCCTTTTTGTCTTTTTTTTTTTTTAGGATAACTATAAATAACTATATCGTGAAATATATCGTTACCGTGAAATAAAATTAGTCATATCGTGAAACACAATTTTGGTCATATCGCCCACCCCTACATTAACCATTTTAATCTTAGTAATTCAATAATTTAAGAAATGTTCAAATTTAAAGGTTCAGTTTAGAAGTATTTGTATCGGTATCGACGATACTGGCCTTGAAAGTGGTATCGCCAATCACTAATTCAAACTGCACGCTACGGATGCAAAATACACAGAAAATCAAACCCGATCCGATTTTTTTAATAACGGACGAAATTTCGGAGGCAGTGTGCAAGCGCGATTGACACAACGTGAGCTCGTATTTATTTTTCAACGTGCGAGACAATTTCGGACAGGAATTTCCGTAACACCAACTATTTTCAATTCTAAACACTGACTAATCATAACGAAAATCAACTCGTACTCTCCTTCTCTCTCTCCAGACTTTTGCCAAACTAAACCCTAAACTACAGCCGATGGTTGATTTGATCAAGGCCAATCGTGCCAAATGGGAAGAGCTACACCACAGACACCAGCGCAGCCAGGAAACCCCCGGCCCTGGAAGCCCGTGTGACGCTGAGGTCACCGCGAACGGCTGCAGCAGCGCGGACGCTAGCGACGGCGGCCCCGTGAGCTAACCTGAGCCCGATTTTACCACACGCTTCTTCTTTTCTCTGACCCGCAGCAATGCAGACGGAAAGAGTTTGGATCTGCTGCACGCTTCAAACCAGCAGCCATTACCTCACTAGCGCCCCCTATCGGGCTTTTGCTCCGTCTCTGAGCACTTCAGGCGACTGAGTTTGCGTTCGTCTCCACAGTGCAAAGACTGCACATTTATCTAGCAATGACTTGTGATGTGGGGAATCTTAGGGATGCGTTTACGCCCAGGAAGCTACTTTAGGGCTAGCATGCTAACTTCGAGACTCTTATCGTGTGTGTGTGTGTAAGTTACTTTCAGCAGGGACTGTTTAAGGAGGATTGCCACTGTTTAAAAGGTATAATAGTGTATTTTTCCCTGTGTAGCTTTGAATGAGCACATATCCTGAGCACTGGAGCTCGGTTCTGTACCGCATATGTCATGTGAAGGAATGACTAATGCAGCATTTGACTGTATTTTTTGCCTTTCTTGTTTTAGCTGATGTATTTATTCCAGGAACAGCCGCGGGGCTCTTGGCGATGCTAATCCACTCCAGCGCTGTACTCTGTGCCTTGGTAAAACTCCCATGATAATGCATGCATCGCATACCTCACAGATCTCTCTAGATCATACTTCATCATCATGGATTTTTCCTCAAGTCTTGGGTCTGTTTCACTTCAACCAACGGCACCCATCATGAATAGTGAAAGTTCTGTCGTTTACTCGCACTTGTGTTGTTCCAAGTACGGCTTTCTTTCTTCTGTGGGACACAAAAGAAGATATTTTGAAGAGTTGTACTGGTCCATGGCCTCAGAGGAACACAAAAGCACCCTTAAGGCCCGTTCATAACAAGAACGAATTCGAATGTCAATGTTTTTATCGTTCATCATCTGGAAAAAAAATCATTCTGAAAGTGATTCAAATTTTAAAAATTCAATTTTTACAACTATATATTTATCGTTATGGTTATCATCATTGGAATAAACATGCCGTAAAAGTACTATAAAAGTAATTTATATCATTCCTGAAGCTTTGTGTGACTGAATGACTATCTCCAACTGATTTTAGCAGTTTATTGCAATAGTTTAACTTTAGAGTTTGGTTTCCATCCAGTTTTAATTACTTATTACTTAAAGGATTAGTTCACCTCAAAATGAAAATTTCCTGATAATTTCCTCACCCCAATGCCATTCAAGATCAATGCAGTTTCAAACGGGTCTGCACGATCCCAGCTGAGGAATAGGGTCTTATCTACTGAAACGATCGGTCATTTTCTAAAAAGAATTCAAAATTATATACTTTAACCACAATTGTTCATCTTGTGCTGGTCTGCGTCACGCCAGGCATTACGTCATCACTTTGGAAAGGTCACGCTGGACGTAGGCGTAAGAACCGCCCCATTGTTTTAAACATCCCGGATACACACATGAAAGGACCATTTTTAAACAATAAACTGACACAAAAATATAAATATGTCATTCAACATACACTAAAATGTGCACGATTCTCCTTCTCCACGCTTGTAAACAATGGGGCGGTGCTTACGCCTACGTCCAGCGTGACCTTTCCAACCTGATGACGTAATGCCTGGCACGTCGCAGACCAGCACAAGATGAACAATTGTGGTTAAAAAGTATATACATCTATTATTTTGTTTATTTTTTAAATGGCTGATGGTTTGGCTAGATGAGACCCTGTTCCTCAGCTGTGATCGTGCAGATCCGTGTGAAGCTCTTCAAAGCCCTTTGAAACTGCATTGATTTGGACTTCAACAATTTGTGGAGAAAAATCCTGAAATGTATTTCATCAAAAAACTTTTTTCCACTGAAGAAAGAAAGACATGAACATCTTGGATGGCATTGGGGTGAGTAAATTATCAGGAAATTTTCATTTTGAGGTGAACTAGTCCCTTAATTACTTTTTGGATGTAAATGTGATGCCTCTCCTCATGTAAATCATATTTCATGATAATAAAGTTTGTAATAAGTCTTACCGGCCAGATAACCATTTCATAGATGAAGGCAGTAATTAAAGGAAACACTTCCTTAGAAACCCATTGAGTGTGCTGTTGTACTTCTGGAGTGAAGCAGGCCTTCGATTTCCTGGTTGTTTTATCCTCATGAAGCAGCTCATACTAGGGCTGCGTCTGAAATCACACACTTCACCACTATATAGTATGCGACAAAAAGTAGTATGTCCAAACTCGTAGTATTCGAAAAACAGCAAGCGAAAAGTCCCCGGATGAGCTTCTACTTCCAGTGAGAGTGTTAAAGGTGCAGTGTGTAGATTTCTGCGGCATCTAGTGGTTCGGTTGTGAACTGCAACTAACATATCAGCTCTTGCTTTCGAAGAAGCTACGGTGGGCTAAACAGGACAAACATGTCGTTGTCTGAGACTGCAGAGAGTAGCCAGTTTAGCAACGAGGTTTCTTTACAAAGATAGAATAAGACATTATATATGTAAGCAATAAGGTACGAGAGGCTGTGCTGTATCGTGAATAAGTAACGGCTGAAGGGCGTTGTTAGGCACGACCATAGACTGTAAAAAAAGATGGACGACGCCCCTTCGCTCTTTTCCATCAGAGAGAACTGAAGCCGCCAATGTCTCGATATGACGCTGACATCTTGGAACTTGAGTCTGCGCACTTGCGTGTTTCGGGACCAGTCATGCGCAGTCGTGAGCAGGAAGTAAAGCCGCGAAATCAAGGCCGCGCCCTCATTCTCGTTGAATCACACGCCCCGCACTTTCATTAAGTGTCCTCTGTCTGCTTTGTTCTTCTCCAATGATGTCTGCTAATCGCAGAACCTCGTTAAAATAAGGTAAATACAACTACTAACCACATAATCAACATTATTAAAAAAGTCCGCTGGAGCTTCAGTGACTACCTCGCACAGAGAACCTGTCAATCATGATGTCAGAGCACCGTTATTTTATCATCACATAACTAACTAAAAACAAACTTATTTTAAAAACGAACACTTGAAATTACATCAACGTGATAGAAACTACAGTAAATGACAGAAACTATCTTTGGAAAAAGGATATGTGAAGTGTAATTTAATTGTTTAGTTGGTCTCGCGTCCCATTGAATAACATGGGGAGGCGGGGGTTATGAGCTATACTAGGTCCGGTCACAGGGGGGCGATCGAGACGTTTTGGCTTCACTTTTGAGGGCTTGTGCGGCACGCTTGGGCACGACGCGAAGTGGAGTAAACCCTTCAGCTGTTACTTATTCACGATACAGCACTTGCCTCGAGTACCTTATTGCTTTTATAAAACGGTTGCCACACAATATTGAATTAAAAAACAATGTATTAGTTCAACTTTCTTGAAGTAAAATCATTAAAAGCCTTCGGTACTTTCCTGTTATCCGGACCCCACCATATACCATTTCGGAACTATAGTCATCCCTGATTGGTCTTAACCCCAGTGATGGGTAGGTTTAGGGGCGGGGTTAGGGGTAGGCCATCGTGGGGTCCGGATAACAGGAAAGTACCAAGCCTTCCTTCCTTCCGCTAGAAAAAATAGTCCCTGAGCGTGAACAGCAACAACGCTCCAATATGTTAAAATGCATGAAAGCTCAAATAAAAACAACATAGAACCGCAGTGTTGCACAGAGATCAATATAACCGTTGGGTGAAGCGGTCATAGCCGTGTTTTATCGTGAATAAAGCACAGCTCTTGACCAATCAGAATCAAGGATTCGAACTAACCGTTTTATAAGTACTCCGTAAAACAATGTCATTGCAAATATTATTGTTACCTGTTCATCATTGTGTTTTATTCGGTTTTAATTTTTCCTGCATTTTCCATCTGGAAAAAAGCCACAACGATGTTAATTGATTCAGGATTTCTGCCGTCGTCTGTCACAACTTCGTCTGGCTTCATTATGTTTTTTTTCTTAGCCGACGAAGATTGACGCTCTGTCGGCTTTTGTGCAAAATAATACATGTGGTCCTCAAATTTCACTACTAACGTTACTACTTCTTCTTCTTTGTGCCTATTCAATGTAGTGACGGTGCAAGTTGCCTCTAAAAACCAACGAGGAAGATGAAAAACAGAGTGACAGAAAGTTTGTGCGTTTAGGGCCACTGTAGAAACATGGCGGCACAAAATGGCGACTTGGCGTATAAGGGGGCCCGCGGTGTGTGTAGAGAGAAACGGCTCATTCTAAGGTAATTAAAACATAACGATTCATTAAAGAAGTAGTTCACTTTTAAAAAAACTTTTGCTGATAATTTACTCACCCCCATGTCATCCAAGATGTCCATGTCTTTCGTTCTTCAGTCAAAAAGAAATTAAGGTTTTTGATGAAAACATTCCAGGATTTTACACCATATAATGGACTTCAATGGGGTCCAAACGGTTCAAGTGCAGCTTCAAAGGGCTTTAAACGACACCAGACGATGAATAAGGGTCTTATCAAGCGAAACGATCGCTCATTTAAAAGACAAATAACAAAGTTCAAGTTTTATAAGCTCAAACGCTCGCCTTGCTCTGTTCTGTGATGCGCGTTCGTGACTCTCCTGTTCGAACTCGTTCATCAAAATGAATGAATCTTTTTCCGAGTCAATTCGTCATTTCGTTCGTTGAATCAACCAAATGACAAGAAAAAAGATTTGTTCATTTTGATGAATGAGTTTGAAAAGGAGAGTCACATTCGCGCATCACAGAACAGAGCAAGGCGAGCGTTTGAGCTTATAAAACTTGAACTTTGTTATTTATCTTTTAAATGAGCGATTGTTTCGCTTGATAAGACCCTTATTCATCGTCTGGACTCGTTTAAAGCCCTTTGAACAGTTTGCACTGAAAGTGTCTTTTGGACCTTGAACCGTTTGGTTTTCATTGAAGTCCACTATATGGAGAAAATCCTGGAATGTTTTCATCAAAAACCTTATTTTCTTTTTGACTGAAGAAAGAAAGACATGGACATCTTGGATGACATGGGGGTGAGTAAATTATCAGCAAAAGTTTTTTAATAAGTGAACTACTCCTTTAAGGTCTTTATACACCACTGAAAACATAGTTATGTACATATTATAATGCATTTCTGACAATAGATCCTCATCAATTTTGCACACGCCACCTTTAAGTGTGCATTCAATGGACACTTTACTATCCCATGAGGCCACGGGAGAGGAGTTATGAATGGCAGGGAAGCGTTGGTCATCAGTGACCATGGTGGCACATTCATACTATAGAAAACCTATTTTTAAAACGGTCACAAGGTGAGTACTTGTTCAAAATAAGTACCCTCAGTACTCAGCAAGTGTGTGATTTCAGACGCAAGACTTCATCTTCATTCTCTCATCATCTCTGTGCACTGGATTACCTCAAACCCAACTCGTCACAGGCCCACACACAACCTGCAGAAAGAGCGGCAGATCTCCTACACATCTTCCACACCCTTGCATGTTAAGTTATTAAATATTTTGTCAAATTTTCAGCTACTATAGAAGTGCATAACTCTCTTCCACATAACTTCTTTTCCCATAAATGTGTTGGAAATGTGGACCTACTACTGACTTCAGACTGCTTCTGTCAGTCACTTTTTTCATCAGTGATCTTGTGAAATTGTCTAATCTGAGACATGTATGTGCCTTTACTAAGTAAAAAACTCTTCTTCGCACACGCATCTGTTCTCATCCTCTCCAGCTGGATGAACCAAAAAGGGAAGAGATAAGAAAGCCTAGATTTGCATAAAGGACAGAAAGATTTTTTTTTTTTTTTTTTTTTTTGCATTACAACATTTTTCCGACAAGCACAATGTGTCCAAATGTTGTACTTTTGCTTTTGTTTCTATCTATTTAGATTCTGATTATAATACAGATATAAGAATCATCCTGTCTGGTCACAATTATTATTAGGATTTATATTTTTAATCTGATTAAAGTCCACATGCTCTCGGGAAACTGAAGATAAAAGGCTAACTTACGGAGAGTAAAATTGAGTTGCATGAAGAAGTGTCTGAACAGTCGAGCTGTAATAAGGTTCACTGGTACTTCATTATTCAGTACTTGATCTATTGTACCTGCATGAAAGCAGCTGTTGCATCAGTGAGGAGGAATACTTTCATATGTAACCGCATTATTCAGAATGTTTTACATTATTCCCAATGATTTCTTCACTGTTGGACTATTCTCTGGGGCGTTATGTAAGTGATGAGGCTGTTTTGTCTTGGTCCAACTCTCCTTTTTCTGGAGAGTCCTGAAGCATGATTTCTGGAAGTGTAAACTGTCCGATTCAAATAAACGTGCTGCTAGAAATGATGAGTCGGAGATTTCTGCGAGTAGTCTGGACAATTCAGCTGTAAAACCCTAACCCTTCACTAGTAAAATCACATTTACTTTGCCTCGAGACCTTATGTAGCTCCGCCCCTTTCCAGCGCGTCCGGTTTGTTTCCACAGCGTGAAGGTAAGATCTCACAGATTTATGAATAAACCGCTCGTTTTAAAATCTTCCCGTCTACTGACATCAGTTATGACATCCGATTCAAACATTGCAATGATCATGATAACTTTCATTAACTCTAATCCAGAAAGTAATCCACTAATTACTTTTCAACAGCGATGCCATAGAAATATACAGAGCGACTGCCAAAATGGAAAAGTTTAAAGATCCTGTGTGTTTGTTTCTCTGGAACATAAGGTCTATAAAGATTTATCATTTTTAAAGTCCCCCTGTGGTGAAAATGCAGTTTTTTATGTGTCTATGTGGTGTTTTTAATACGTTTTAAGTCAAATCATATGTAAGTTCATGAGTAAAACTGCAGTGAACCAAAGACAGTCAAGTCTCAATGAGGCAAGAGTGTCGAGTTACATTCAAGATATTTTAAACCATAAAGAATTTTTCTTCAAGGAAAAAAAAAATGGTGATCAAAGATGTGTTTAAGGGGTAAAATTATTGACGAAGGGGTTAAATGTTAATTTATAAACCGTAAAAACAGAGCTAACCTGAGTTCTGATGTCATTGATAAGAGAATCGTTCTCTTAATGATAACTTCAACTGTTATGATAAGCAGTTCTCAGTTAAATAATTTGCATGCAGTGGAAGAGTATTTTGTTGTTGTTGCTCAGATCTTAGGTTGTAATGTTGTGATTCATCTGAGAGCTGGATGGTTTGTTTCTATGCTGAAAATGTCTCAGAGATATAAAGGCAAGGCTGCGGTGAAACTGCGGTCCTGCGGCACTGCTCGTTTTAGACGTCTCACTAACCTGACACACATAATCCAGGTCATGAAGCACAAATGAGTTCAGTTCATTAGTCAGGTGTAATCAGTTGTGTTACGTAAGGAGTAACATCCCAGATGTGCTCATGGGCTCCTCCTGTAGGACAGACTCAACAGTGCCACCGTGTGGTTACATCACACAATCATCTGCAACTGAAAGCAATATTATGAAGCTGCAGACTCGGAGCCTGCATCTACAGTCCCCCACCGAGAGTCCCGCATTCTCAGACCCCTCGTTTTTCGAACACAGCGCCTCCTGCTGTTCAACAGATCGAATAACACCCGCACACAGAGTCCAGCGTACGGTTATCCAAATGCAATTAAAAAACAACAGGATGCAATATTAACAGTCTCCAAATAAATTATCCAATAAATATTTGCGTTACCTGCTTAATGCATGTGCCAAAAAAAAAAAAAACTCATTGTAACAGATGGAAGGATACAATTACAGATCTATCTTCTGAAAAATAGTATACGATATTATATTGCTACAATGTTTTTTTTATATTTGTTTTATTCAAATTCCAATTTTTCTTTCAGTTCAACCTATAATAGTCTAATTAACATTATGATGCTAACATTACAAAATCTGTTTTATGATATTTTGAATGCGAAGCAAAACAAATCAGAATAGACAAAACACCAATAATAAACAATTCTGTACTTTATTTAATGATAACCTAAACATCATCTTGCTGTAAAGAAAAAAGGAAGAAAAAACTGTGTTCGTGACTACTTTTCGTCTTCCATTGCATTAAAAAAAGTCGCTTTGCATAATCATAAAATGATATGTTGCTGGGTTAGGGGTAACTCCATCGATTGATGGTGTACCCTGGAATAACCTACAACAGTATAGGCCCGATAGCACATGTCTTATGATGTTTCAAAAAAAAAAAAAAAAGAAAAGAAAAGAAAAAGAAAAAAGTTGTTTGCAAATGTTACATTGCTCTGTTGAAATGTCCCTTGAGATGTTTTTGAACTTTGGACAACTTTGTGGGTTTGAAATATATGGGGGCACAAATGGCCAGTGAAAATAACTGCAGCACTTATGACATAAGTCCAAGGATAAAGGCTAACGCTAGCCATCAAAATATTTTCGGGGGGAAGAGGGTGAAAAAAACATACATTAACGGCTCAAATCTTGTTACAAACTATCTTTACAAATATTAAATGACTATTCATAATGTTGTATCGACGAGCTAAATTTGTTTTATAAAAAAATAAATCAAACGAGGCTACTACGATTCGCTAAATAAAATTGAAGATAGGTAGCCTACTCACTTTTTGGCTTAAGTTCTTCACATGTTATCCGATACAATTTGATAGGAGGCGCTGTCTCGAAAAACGAGGGGTCTGAGAATGCGGGACTCTAGGTGCAGGGGGACTCTAGATGCAGGTCTCCGAGTCTGCAGCTTCATACTACTCACTGAAAGCCTATTACAGGAACTGTGTGTGTGTGTCCACAGATTACAATCATTTTAAACCAGTGCTCGAAGTGGACCGTATGTATACACACCGGTATTATTTGAAAATGTCATTTTTAAATTTACACGTAGTTTATGAGACATTAGATTAACAGCACAGAAATGTTTAAAGACCCAATCACAATGTACAAATGATTTGTTGGTTTAATTTAAAGTACCCTAACCTGGTTGTCTCTTTTAAAGTCCCCCTATGGTGAAAATCCAGTTGTTTATGTCTACAGTATGTGGTTTACATGTGGTTAAAGGGGGGGTTTACTTTTTTTTTTTCTTTGCATGATTGTATTTATGGCAGTCGAGACCACCTCACTCGAGTCCGAGTCGAGACCGAGACCAGAGAGAGTCGAGTCTGAGTCGAGACCAGAGAGAGTCGAGTCCGAGTCCATAGAGAGTCAAGTCCAAGTCGAGTCCGAGACCAGAGACGGTCAAGTCCGAGACCAGTGAGGGTTGATTACCTAATTTACTTTTATTTACTTAGAGAAATCCTTTTTTTTTAAACTTAATTTACTTAGAGTTTAAAAAATATGATCAGTTTAGGGTAAAAAGGCCACATAGTAGGTGGTGTTAAAAGTAATTTTATTACAATTTGTCATGCGCAGTTGTGCACTAGAAAATCACTGGGCGTGTCAATCAATTTAAAGAAATATTTTATTAACATACATTAAAATTCATTAAAAATTTTTTGAATTGAACTCGAGTGGACTCGGGAATAAGTCCGAGTCCTAAAAAAAAAAAGGTTCGAGTACGCGTCAATTCCGAGTCTAAATGCACACGAGTCCATGACAAGACCAAGACCATTAAAATATGGTCTCGAGACCGAGTCTCGAGTACTACAACACTGGTTTATAGGGTGCAATTTAACATGTATTTGTGTTTTTTCTTTTTTAAAAAGTCTTATTTTTCCTAAATCTTACCTTTATTGTCAGCCACGCTATCCTCTGTCCTCTGAACGACTGGTAGACTTCCTGATTGTATGAAACCGCTCCCTCAGAAACACGCAGTGGGCTCAGATTGGTTAGTTTGGGCCGTTGTGTTGTGATTGGCTAAACTGAGTAGTTCACGTTGTCCGGATACTAACGCCCATTACATTTACGGGCGAAGTTGCATGTGTGTTCCTGTCTAATGTAAATAATGGTGTGGATACTGCATCAGTTTGAGGCAGAACCAGACCCAGAAAGCCACGATGAAGAGAGTCAAGCAGAACCTCACCACACACTCTTACTAAACGTTTCTGAATAAAAATTTGCCTATATTTGTCTTACACAAAATAGCATCGAACTGACTGGCTACTATAACAGTGTTGGCATTGGTTTACGTTCTTGATCAAATCGAAAAATAACATCATAAAGCATACATGAAAAATACGTTTAAAACATTAGTACTTATAAAAAAAAGGTCCATAATGTTTGTACGCTTTTGTCGTAGACACAAAATAGCATAACTAGCCTAGTGGCTATAAAGCCAGCGCTAACATTTGATAAAGCTAAAACACAAGGCTACGTCTGGAATTATACATGCAAATACATTTAAAATGATTAAGTCTTAGCCTACTTACAGGTTGTGGCCCCAAGTGCTTCATGTTTTAGTAACAGTTTCTTGTTGAACTCGTGGAGATTCTGGAAGCTGTCTCTCGAGAGCTATTTCATTTACATAATCAAACATAAATTGTATCCATTGTTGACGAACTACAACGTCCGTGGGAAGCCCGAACACAGAACACCTGACAGATTGAAACTGTCGGCTGAAGAACCAAGTTTGGTTTGATGATGATAAACATTCCCGAGGTAAGGCTAATACAAACAAACCTAATAAAACATTTGCAATAATGACAGAGGACACACGATCTAAAATGTTCGGACATGTTAATTTATTGCACAAACAGCTTTGACAAAAATGTACTCTGATATTAAACACATGACCAAGAAATCTGAGGGAAAGACGAGGGAGACTTTCGTTATACTTCAGTTTAAAATCTGTTAATACGGCTGTTGCGACGATAGATGATGAAACCGTTCAGGAATCAAGCCGAGGGGCGGCGGCAAAACCTCCTCGAGATCCTTCATTTTGCGTTTCAGTAACACAATAGTCCAGAAGCACATGAATTCATAACACACATATAAAAAACTCATAATCGACACGAGTGTCACGTGGGAACAGGAGAGAGGATCTGCTGAACATCACAGCCCTCTCTCTGCAAGTACAGGCTGCTGGACTGTGTGTTTAGGCTTAAATGTTTTACAAAAGTGCCATCGTAGTAAAGCGAGACGTCTGAGCCTGTTACACAGGACACACACTCCATTAATCTGATATTCATCACGCAGTTTAGTGTTCACTCACATATAAAACTTCATCCAAACATTCAAACCTTCCAAACTCTGTGTGAAACACAAAAAGGCAAAGAATGTTCATGCTGGGTTTTTTCTTTTCTTTTCGTGTGTGTGTGCGTGTGTGTGTTGACAGTGAATAATGAAAAGTGAAAAGTATCGAATGACGTCAAAACCAGGAAGTCTGTTTTTTTTTTTCAATTTATGAGTGGAATAATATCTGTGGTAAACATAAATTGACCATACACGGATGGACGTTAAACTGCACACACACACACACACACTCAAACTGCCTTATGTTGCTATCTAGAAAGATACGTTTTCTAAAACAAACAGCTTCAAAATGCGTGTTTGCAATATCGATGTGTCTCATTTATGTTGTAGAGCAAAACGTCTGCAAGTATCGTAAAATATCGTATCGTAAAGTTGTGTTTACCACAGACCTTATTTCATTCATAAATAAAAAAAAGGTTTTAAATAAAAAATAAATAAATAAAAAAACAGGAAACCCGGTTTTATATACATATATATATATATTAGGGCTGTGCAAAAATTAATTGCGATTAATCGCATCCAAAATAAAAGTGAATTGTTTACATAATATATTTGTGTGTGCTGTATATAATTATTTTGTATATATAAATACCTATGCATGTATATATTTAAGAATTATTTGCACTTAAATTCTATATATATATATATATAAATACATAATCTATATTATATAAATATAAATATTTTATGTATGAATAACACATTTTCTTAAATATATACATGAATGTGTGTGTATTTATATATATAAAAAATAATTATATACAGCACACACAAATATATTATGTAAACACAGACTTTTATTTTGGATGCGATTAATCGCAATTCATTTTTGCACAGCCCTAATATATATATATATATATATAAAGGAAAATCTTGAAGAAACGAGGTGGATATGAAGTCATCCCTGACGCACACTATAATATCACGACAGCAGACCACAGTGTGTATGCGTCTCATAACTACTCATGATGCGGCGATCGCAATGTCAGAAATGAGATTTCAGAGCTTTTATCTATAATGTCAATTTTGGAATGTTGCTCAAACAAATCTGACATTACTTGGGATATTATTTGGACTACTTTTAATCCTGTTCTTCCATGGTCTAGAAAAGAGCAGCGTGAACATTCTTCCAAACATCTCTCTCTGAGTCCCACGAGGACGAGTGAATGGGGATTATCTGTTTAAAGTGAAACAAAGCATCCCCTTAAACATCATCCATCTCAAAGCAAAGTATAACAGACTCTGAAAGTGTAATAAACTCAAATGGACAACAGATGAACGGAGGCTTATTTTTTTCCCTCAAAGTTGATACAAATCAAAGCACGTAACAGTCACATACAACGTTTTAGATCCCAGTTCAGATCATCTCTGGCTTTTTTGCATATGTTGTGTTAAAAAAATACAATTTATCGTGGTGGATCTTCGGTGAACATCCTCTCTAAACTGTGTGCTCATGTTTATATACAGGACACACAGATGTGTGTGTGTGTGTGTGGCTGAAGCAAGTCTGCAGTAGAAGAGATGCTGACAGTCTTTGGCAGAAACACAAGGAGAGATTTGATGCAGATGATGGAGCACAACACACACGTTTACAGGCTCAACTCACACACACTGCACCTCGTCAGAGAGTCAATCTCACGAAAACATCATATTCCCTCCATCCAGAATCAAAAGACAAAACAACACTTTATAATAAGGTTAGATTAGTTATGGCTGGTATCATGAACCACAAAAACTATATATACACATTGATCTTGTTACCTCACTTTCACTCATAAAGCATTTACTCATGTTAGAATGACTTAAAAATATTTCATACATTCTGTATTGTTCTTTATTAATGTCAAGTAATGCATTAACTAATGTTGGTCAATAAAACCTTATTATAAAGTGTACTTAAAGCAATATTAGGGTAATTGAAACTTATCTCGCAATTCTGACATTTTATCATTTCATCGCAATTATGAGTTATAAAGATGTAAACTCGCAGTTGTGAGATAAAAAGTCTTGATCTTTTAAAATGTTTTACTCTGTGGTGGAAACAAGCTTCCATAATATTCCCTCATTCCACGAATAATCTTTTTTTTTTTTATTCATATTTGCTTAACGAGATTTGGTGCCTATTTTTTAAGTTCGCAAATTCATAACGGTTGAAAAAAAATTGCCTTATTATGCATTATATTCTTTTGATTTTAGTTCAACTGGGACATTTGTCATGAGATTCACCCCCCTCCCCAAAAAAACGATACAGTCAGTTTGAGCTGACGGATAGAAAAGGCAAAAGTACAGTAAGGATAGAGGATAATAAAACACTGAGTCACTCAGAACGAGGAGTGTAAGACAGACAGACAGAAGGCACGCTGCTTTAAAAAGCATAATTGAGTCTGCTAATGTACGAAACACAACAATAGTGCCAGACACGGACCTCACAGTATCAAAACCCTGTTCAGTCACGGGAAGACCGGCGAGAAATCAAGTCACGTGATCAGGAGGAGCCATGCACCTCACTGAAGAGGAGGTCAAAGGTCAAAGGCGATGGGGTTAATGAGAAACAGAGGATTGGTTTATCGGGTTACTGTGCGAGAAAGACGGGAATATGAGGTTTAAATCAAATCTGATTAGAAGATAATGGAAAACGCATGAGAGTGTTACATGAATTACAACAGGTTTCTGCTGCCGAAAATGTTCTGAGGATCCACAAACTCCTTCACCGACTTGAGCACGCCGAGCCCCACGCCGGACACGCTCTCTTTCATCCATTCCTTCCGGAGCTTTCCCACTGTGACAGAGAGAGAGAGAGAGAGAGAGAGAGGTTGGATGATGGATGTTCTGCGGTGGGCGGCACTGCTGAAACGCTGAGATGTTTTGCATGATGTGATTTATGGAGAGCAGCAGACTATCAAACTCATTATCCCTGAGCTCCCAGAGGAGAGAAACTACAGCAGCACAACACACGTTTAGGCCTGTCTGTCTGAATAACTGTCTGTCTGAATAACTGTCTGTCTGTCTGTATGACTGTCTATCTATCTATCTATCTATCTGTCTGTCTATCTATCTGTCTGTCTGTCTGTCTGTCTGTCTGTATGACTATCTATCTATCTGTCTGTCTGTCTGTCTGTCTGTCTGTATGACTGTCTCAATAACTGTTTGTCTGTCTGTCTGTATGACTGTCTGTCTGTTTCTATGACTGTCTTGAATGACTGTCTGCCCGTCTGAATGACTGTTTGTCTGTCTCTATATGACTGTCCGTCTGTATAACTGTCAGTCTGTCTGTCTGTCTGTCTGTATGACTGTCTCAATAACTGTTTGTCTGTCTGTCTGTATGACTGTCTGTCTGTCTATCTGTCTGTCTGTCTGTCTGTCTGTATGACTGTCTGTCTGTATGACTATCTATCTATCTATCTATCTATCTGTCTGTCTGTCTGTCTGTCTGTCTGTCTGTCTGTATGACTGTCTCAATAACTGTTTGTCTGTCTGTCTGTCTGTCTGTCTGTATGACTATCTATCTATCTATCTGTCTGTCTATCTATCTGTCTGTCTATCTATCTGTCTGTCTATCTATCTGTCTGTCTGTCTGTCTGTCTGTCTGTCTGTATGACTGTCTCAATAACTGTTTGTCTGTCTGTCTGTCTGTCTGACTGTCTGTCTGTATGACTATCTATCTATCTATCTGTCTATCTATCTGTCTATCTATCTGTCTGTCTGTCTGTCTGTATGACTGTCTGTCTGTATGACTGTCTCAATAACTGTTTGTCTGTCTGTCTGTCTGTATGACTGTCTGTCTGTATGACTATCTATCTATCTATCTATCTGTCTGTCTGTCTGTCTGTCTGTATGACTGTCTCAATAACTGTCTGTCTGTCTGTCTGTCTGTCTGTCTGTCTGTCTGTTTCTATGACTGTCTTGAATGACTGTCTGCCCGTCTGAATGACTGTTTGTCTGTCTCTATATGACTGTCCGTCTGTATAACTGTCTGTCTGTCTGTCTGTCTGTATGACTGTCTCAATAACTGTTTGTCTGTCTGTCTGTCTGTCTGTCTGTCTGTCTGTCTGTCTGTCTGTCTGTATGACTATCTATCTATCTATCTATCTATCTGTCTGTCTATCTATCTGTCTGTCTATCTATCTGTCTGTCTATCTATCTGTCTGTCTGTATGACTGTCTCAATAACTGTTTGTCTGTCTGTCTGTATGACTGTCTGTCTGTATGACTATCTATCTATCTATCTGTCTATCTATCTGTCTGTCTGTCTGTCTGTATGACTGTCTGTCTGTATGACTGTCTCAATAACTGTTTGTCTGTCTGTCTGTCTGTATGACTGTCTGTCTGTATGACTATCTATCTATCTATCTGTCTGTCTGTCTGTCTGTCTGTCTGTCTGTATGACTGTCTCAATAACTGTCTGTCTGTCTGTCTGTCTGTCTGTTTCTATGACTCTCTTGAATGACTGTCTGCCCGTCTGAATGACTGTTTGTCTGTCTCTATATGACTGTCCGTCTGTATAACTGTCAGTCTGTCTGTATGCATACCTGTATGTCTGTATGTATAACTGTCTGTATGTATAACTGTCTGTCTGTATAACTGTCTGTCTCTGTCTGTCAGTAGGTTGGTCTGTATAACTGACTGACTACCTGTCTGTCTGACTGCCTGTCTGTTTGAATAACTGTTATATAATAAACAGACAGACAGACAAACAGTTATTCAAAATCATCAGACAGACAGACAGGCAGTCAGTCAGTTTGCGAAATTTGCTAAAGCTTACTTTGATCAGTGTTATTAAATTGTTTAGTCAAAATCATTAAATTATTAAAACAGATCATTATAGTTGTTGTTTTTAAAAGATCAATCAAGTTAGATTAAGGAAAAAATCTAGGGGATTGAACAGTGTTATTAAATATTATTCATTATTATGAATCCATTATTATTCTTACAGCTATTTAATAACTATTATTAATAAATCAAGATGGATAGAGAACGATGGATAGATGACATATGATATGCTGGTCCCTAGACATAATTCACGCCTTCATGCATCAATAAAATTTTGTTAATGAAAATAATCTGATAATATAACAAAAGAATTGAAGAGAATAGAATACAATATAGTTATGATTTCTTTCTCCTATCATTAAATCAATGACACATCCTTTAAGAGTGTTGTGTTAATATAATCCCACACAGTATATTTGTCAGAACAGCAGTTTAGAAAACCTCGACGTCTCTCAGTCTGTCTCTCACACGCTTACAATGATTGATAAGCGACCAGACGGCGTTTCGTCACAATACGTTACCGTATGAGAAGGGGGCGGAGCTAAGGGCCAGGGCTGATCGCTATTGGCAACCGCCCAAGCCGTGCATATGCAAACAGGTCCTGTGGCGACAGAGCCAATCATCTCGCATGAGAGAACAGAGGGCCGGCCCACTGAACACACATGAGCCAATCACGAGCGGCCCCTCCTCAAATGCCCAGTGGTGTGTGTGTGTGTGTGCTGGGCGACAGACAGAAACAGAAGGAGGCATGACTGCATCATTGCCTCCATCACGGAGATAATTTACACATCTATCATCTCGCCATCAGCTCTCTCTTTCCATCACTATCCTGTCACTATTCATCTCTCATAACCACTTTCACACAGCTGAGACATGCAGAAACTACAGCCAGGGACAAAAGCAGAGGTGTGTGTGTGTCCAACAACGGCTGAATAAAGAGGAAGAGCTCAGGAGTGCGAGTGTGTTTGAGGCTGGTGCACTCGTATAACCCCTGCTCTTCACCTGCACACACACACGCGCTGTCGGGGTTTCCTCAGGCGTGAGTCCACACATGCTGTGCTCAGAAGACACATTTAAGCATGTCCGCATGGGTCCAAACAAACAAACCCGAAAAACAAAACTCCTACTGCGAAGACCAACAAGAACTCGTAGAATCCGGGTCACGGCACCAGAAAAAGTGTTGTACTTTGTAGAGGTCACATGAGTCCAAACACATCACTATTACTACATGTAGGACAGCTGAGATGATCGTTGCACTGGAATATTTTAGTCAATCACTTTGTTTGGATAATTCCTTTGAATGACCAAACTAAACACACAAATGATTCACTGATTCATTATTTTCACAATGTACTTCAGAAGCCCTTAATTATTTTTTTTGCAGTGAAAGGAATGTTCAATTAGTTCCGTTCGCTAGATTTGTTAGGGCAAGTCACTAAAACCAACGGCTTAAACACACAATTGATTGAAAACACACACTGATTCATTTGAGTCATTACTTTAACGATCAATTGATTCACAGAGTCATTATTTTCAGAATGTTCTCGGCAGCCCTTCTTGGTGGTGAAATAAATGTTCAGTTAGCTCTGTTTGCCAAGTTCATTCCAATGAAAACACAAATGATTCACACAAATAACACCCCCTCCCCCACCACAAATCATTCACCGATTCATCTCAGTCATAACTTTCAAAATATTCTTGAAAGCTCTTTGTTTTGTAAAGAAATTAATGTTTAGTTAGTTCTATCAACAGGGTTGCTAAGTTCCTTTGGACAATTCATTTCACACAAATGATTCACTGATTCATTCACTTTTTTACACTAGGGTTTCTGGGTTGCTTTGGACAGTTCATTTCACACAAATGATTCACTGATTCATTCTCTTTTTTTATTTCTAGTTAGTTCTATTTGCTAGGGTTGCTAGGTTCCTTTAGACAGTTCATTTCACACAAATGATTCACTGATTCATTCTCTTTTTTACACTAGGGTTTCTGGGTTCCTTTGGACAGTTCATTTCACACAAATGATTCACTGTTTCATTCTCTTTTTTATTTTTAGTTAGTTCTATTTGCTAGGGTTGCTAGGTTCCTTTGGACAGTTCATTTCACACAAATGATTCACTGATTCATTCTCTTTTTTACACTAGGGTTTCTAGGTTCCTTTGGACAGTTCATTTCACACAAATGATTTACTGATGCATTCTCTTTTTTACACTAGGGTTTCTAGGTTCCTTTGGACAGTTCATTTCACACAAATGATTCACTGATTCATTCTCTTTTTTATTTCTAGTTAATTCTATTTGCTAGGGTTGCTAGGTTCCTTTGGACAGTTCATTTCACACAAATGATTCACTGATTCATTCTCTTTTTTACACTAGGGTTTCTAGGTTCCTTTGGACAGTTCATTTAACACAAATGATTCACTGATTCATTCACTGATTCATTCTCTTTTTATTTCTAGTTAGTTCTATTTGCTAGGGTTGCTAGGTTCCTTTGGACAGTTCATTTCACACAAATGATTCACTGATTCATTCTCTTTTTTACACTAGGGTTTCTAGGTTCCTTTGGACAGTTCATTTCACACAAATGATTCACTGATTCATTCTCTTTTTTACATTAGGGTTTCTAGGTTCCTTTGGACAGTTCATTTCACACAAATGATTCACTGATTCATTCACTTTTTTACACTAGGGTTTCTAGGTTCCTTTGGACAGTTCATTTCACACAAATGATTCACTGATTCATTCTCTTTTTTACATTAGGGTTTCTAGGTTCCTTTGGACCGTTCATTTCACACAAATGATTCACTGATTCATTCTCTTTTTTTAAATTTTTTTTTACACAGTTTTAGTTAGTTCTGCTTTCTAGGGCGGTATTAAACTTTCATTTTGTCAACGTTTTTCAAGAAGTCACCAATCTCCCACCAAAGTTATTCAGTCAAGTGATTGACAAATGCAAATGAGTTCAGGTTATTTCAGACTCCCTCACTAAAGGCTGTTTGAACGGTCTCTCTTTAACTCTTTATCTCTAGCGGAGCAGCACATCTAGTTTAACGTGTTCTTTCAAGCTTTAAAGGGCATATTTCTGTTGGTTTCGTTTGCTTAGATGCGTACACACGGTCAGTGTGCAACAAAGGAACTGTGTGTGTTTGTGTTTAGAGTGAGTGGAGGTCTGGCAAGCGTGTGTATTCACAGCTCTGACCCGTGGTAAACACAGGTTAGTAAACTGTGTTTCTCTCCTGCGCCCTCCCACCTCGCCCGCCCAGACTACATCTGTTTTTCCAGATACACACACACTCACTTCATTTGTCATGCTGTGATTGTGTGTAGACAAAAGGGCCTGTCAGCAGGCAGATAGTACCGCAGTGCCGCTATTAATCACAATTACAGAGAACTACCCCCCCTCACACACACACACACACACACACTTTCTTTTAGAAAGCAGTCATGAAAGTTTATAAACATCAGCTCACCCTTTCCGCTCTCATTTCAAAGGTATAGTTCATTCAAAAATGAGTTTCAAATACTTTATTCTCTCTAGTCTGTGAAATAAAAGATGTGATTTTGCATCTGATCTTTGAACGATTCATTCACAAATGACTCGCAGCATTAGACAACTCTTGATATTAACTCACTTCAGAATTGTCTCTTTCATATTCCACAGAAAAAAAGAAAGAAATCATTCAGTTTGGAAAGACATAACAGTCAGGAAACAGTTTTTTGAGTGAACTATTCCTTTATCAGTCCATTTAGGACTCGACCTGTGGGCTACAGAGCTCTCTCTCTCTCTCTGTGTGTGTGTGTGTGTGATTAATGAGTCTGGTGACGGTTAGCTAGCAGCAGGCGGATGGTAATGTAGATTAGTCATGTGTCTCAGACCCAATAAACCAGGACAAACCACCGACCCCAACGCTAGCATTCTCTAAAAGGCCGAGTTGTGTGTGTGTTTGGTTTAGAAGAGCTTAACTGAGGGAATAGATTCATTTATTTCAGATGATTCACGTGCTGTGTGGTGAAACTCACCTCCATGATGGTGAGACAGACTTCCTCCATTGGCAAGAATCTCCTCTCGGGCCGCATGCTACACAATACAAGCAGAACAAGACGTTAATATCATTTAAGCATAAAGAGAGAAAGATGGTCTCAAAAGCCCTTTTTTGTAGAGGAATAAATAGTTCTGCTAGGTTCATTTGGACGGTTCATTCCAATCAATACACAAATGATTCACACAAACAAAACACAAACTTATTCACTGATTTGAGTCATAACTTTCAAAATATTTAGCAAGCCCTTACTTTTGTAGTGAAATAAATCTTTAGTAAAGGTTCCTTAGGATAGTATAATAGGGACACTTGAATTAAAATAATCTATTTTAAAGACTCCTAGTTTTGTTTTGTCTCCTAGAACAGCTTAACATGCATCAAAAGATAAAAAAAAAATCCTTTCATCTGAATCTTCAGAAGATTCAGTCTCTCTAAACCCCTCGTTTCCAAGAGTCTACTCTGCTCTGATTGGTCAGATGACTCAGTCTGTTGTGATTGGTCTACTCTGCTCTGATTGGTCAGATGTCCCAGTCTGTTGTGATTGGTCTACTCTGCTCTGATTGGTCAGTTAATTTTACTCACAGGTAAGTATTGAGAAATATTTGTACTAGTTTAAAGACTTTCCCTTTCTTGTTGTCCTTACCTCCACTTGTTCGTAGACATGAACTGGATCACTCAGACCCCGGTAATTAAACGCAAAATAGAAATACACACAAGCACCTGCATCATACGTCTGTGTAACTCTGGAAAGAGAAAAACACAAGTTATGATGCTTTCATGTCCATCCAGGGAAGATTTCCACCATGTGTATACTGACACCTAGTGGTGTGGATGTAGCCATGATTATTATTATTTTTAAATATTTAATTTTATAATATACCTTTTTATAATAATACTGAGTGCACTTTTAGGGGCCATAACTAAAATATACTCATGTATAATACATGAGTACAAAATCTGGCCATTGATTTGAAGTCCCAATAAATGAAAAGCTATTGCTAGTTACAATGTTATCCATCACTTATATATTATCCAGCAAGCTTTATAACAATTCTTCATCAATGATACACAAAAAGCCCATTTTTACAATCATGATACTAATTTACCTTCAACTAAAGATATCTATATCTATAATACATGCGTTGTTTGCTATGATTTCTTTGTCACAGCAACTCAAAAATCAAATCCAGCTTTTCCCACTGGTAATTACGACACTGTGGTGGCCGTTTTCTATTTTTGTTCTGGTATATCCAGCTCATAAACACTTAATCCTGAGAGGATGAGGAGTGTGTGATGTTTCTAGAATCAGTAATCTTAATATTCTTCCTGCTAAAGCGGATTTACGGCTGCTGTGGGGTTTTTAATGAGTCCAGAAAGGCACAAAGAGAAAGCGAGAGACACTGAAATGCTTTCTATCCAGGCCCTGCCTATGTGACCCTTGACTTTGAGACAAAGTAAGTTTAAGTTTATCTGGTTTTGCAGAGGTTAAATGGCCACATCAATCATGTCACACGCAGCTGGAAGGCAAACGACAGGAAATGAATGGCTAGGAAATGCTCTTCAGCCCAAAACTCACTCTCTTTCAGTGTGACGGTAAAGGTGAGATTAGAATGAACACAGAGTTCACTAAACAACACATTGAGATTCTACTCTAGATTTGTACATTAAATGAATAAAATGTGAACAGTGCTGGGTTACACAAGAGTTGCCACCAACTGTGTCACACCAACGGCAGTTGCTAGGGTATTGTGGGTAATATTTACTTAACACTAGTCAAGATGGTCATTAGACCCTTACTTATGGACAGCAAATCAAAGGTAAAAAAATAGACGTGTGTGTGTGTGTGTACCTGCATGTGGACAGCGGATGGAACTGAACTCCTCTCTCCTTACACTCTCTTACAATCCTCTCCTTCACATTCCTGCACAAGTCCAAAATCCTGAGAGAGAAAAAAAAGGTAAATGCTAAATAATGTGACCAAAAAGTCACCTAATCACTTTTATTCTGAAATGTTACAAATAGTAGAATTTAAGTAATTAAAACTTTAATATAACAAAACAATTTAAGTAATGGGAAAAACATGAAAATACAGCAATACATTCACCACAAAATAATAATCCCTAACCCACCCCCTAAAAAATAAACTAAAACACAAACTAAAACTAAAAAACAAAAAGCAAAAGCAAACAAAAAAAAAAAAAAAAAAAAAGAAAACCAAACAAAAAACAAACAAAATGAATAAATAAACAAAACCAAACCAAAAAAAAAGAAAAAAAAAGAAAACCAAACCAAACAAAAAACAAAACCAAACCAAACAAAAAACAAACAAACACAACCAAACTAAAAACAAAACAAACAAAACAAAACATTTAAACAAAACAAAACAAAAACCAAACCAAACAAAAACAAGACAAAAACAAAAAAAAACAACACCAACAAAACCAAACCAAACAAAACAACAAACAAAACCAAACAAAAACAAAACAGTAGTCAACATTTGAAGTGGACCAAAAAAGACAAAAGGTATTGTTCAAAATTCATGCATAACAAGGTTTTGATCCACTTCCAAATGTTGACTACTGTAAAACCCTAAACATACACTTCAAAAAACAAAATGACAAAACTAGTTCACAACTAAACAAAACAAAGCAACAACAAAAAGACACTAAACAAAAATAAAACAAAGCAACAAAAACACTAAACGAAACAAACTGATCAAAAACACCAACACTGCACTCTATATTATCCTCACTGGACAATCCCTCGATCTTGGGAAGTATTTCCACTCTACGGCATGAGTTCACACCAGTTTGGCTTTGTGTTAATACTAAGAGTCGAAATTACAAGTTCACGTGAAGTCTGAAAGTTTTTCCTTTACTTTGTGTCCTTGTGTCCTTCCCACCTCCACTAGCGCCTCCAGACAGAGACAACAGCGAGCGTGTTAAAGAGAGCGTGGAGCGCGTGGGCGATCAACAGACACTAGTGATGCTTGACCATCGCATACCTGTCCCAGGGCACAGACGTCTCAAACGACTCGCCCATCACGTAGTAGTCCATTCCCAAATCCTGCACACACACACAAAATGTTCATTCAATCCCAGCGTACATTTAAGAACAAATGTATATGTTCGGCGATACATTTATAAGGATAGTGTAGAGTCTGCTGTATCATCTCATAATAAACCCTGACGGGACAAACAGGGCCGCTGACGTGATGCAATCAGTGCTTGACCAATCATAGGCAAGTATTATATAATAGATACTATCATTCTCAGACAGACTAGACAGACAGACAGACAGTTAAAGAGATAGATAGATAGATAGATAGATAGATAGATAGATAGATAGATAGATAGATAGATAGATAGATAGATAGATAGATAGATAGATAGATAGATAGATAGATAGATAGATAGATAGATAGATAGATAGATACATAGATACATAGATAGATACATAGATACATAGATAGATAGACATAGACAGACAGATAGATAGATAGTCAGATAGACAGATAGACAGACAGACAGTTACACAGATAGATCGATAGATAGATAGATAGATAGATAGATAGATAGATAGATAGATAGATAGATAGTGTTGAAAACAGTCGTGCCGCTTCATATATTTGTGATTCATTTCTTTCAGGATTCTTCGAAAGTTCATAAGAACAGAATTTAACTAAAAACTTTTGTAACATTATCATAATGGCCTTAATGTCATGTAATGTTTCCATTTGAAATAAAACTATATAATTAAAATGGGTGTCCAAAAAAAAAAAAAAAAAAAACATGCCATCATAAACACACATTTAGGGTTAGATATAAGTTATTTGTAGTTGTATTTTGAAGTCTGTTGAAATGAAGGGGATTCATAACACACCCGGAGATACGCGATCACAAACGTCAGCATGTAACCCCTCTGACCGTTGTCCTCTCCTGCTGCCAGTCCCCTAAAACACACACACAGTAAGAAACAGAGTACAGGTCATTGGGACGTGAAGAGGGAAATCATATATATTATCAGCACAGTCAATGTTTCGAGAGAATAACCATCAAGGCGTTTGTGGTCCGTGAACATTTCCCATATGGATACACACACGCACACAGAGGCAGTGGATCAATAAGGTCAGCTGTGGGATCTATCCATTCATCCCCTTCAATCCATCACAATCGGCCTCTAATCAAATATTCTCAAAATCAAACCAACCTTTAATGCTGAAATCATTCAATCTGTGCTCTGTTTTCCTCACACACCCATCACTGCCACTGAAAGAGCCGTGATGAATGAGGGAGCATGAAAAGACAGAGACAAACGCCAGTGCTTCCGTATACAATCAGACAGGTCAGGTAAGGTTAGGGGTCACGACCCTAATGACCCATGCTGAACTATACTGGTCAAATAGTAACTCTGGTTCCATAGAAACGGCATAGATGGGAAGAACACACACACACACAAACAACCAAGGGTTTCTTACCCGAATTTGGCTGCGATGTCGTAAACCTGTTTCTCGTGCTGCAAAACCTTCCCACGATCCCCCTCGAATAACAGCGTGGCGACACACAGGTGGTGCGGGTCGAACCCTTTAAACTGAGAGCAGAGTTGCACCGTTAGACAACATAGAGACCCACAATCCATCAGGGAACCTTATTTTTTTTAAGGAGAATAATAATCCTTTATCGTATCGTATGAGACTTTGACATTAAAATTTAGTTTTAATTTTTTTTTATTTAAAGTCTGTGTGGGCGTGAATAAACAAAACAAAAACAATAGTCAATAATATCAGCAGCTACTTTTCACAAGCCAATCAAATCAGTAACATTTCTTGCTTTGAATGTAGAATACTGTGGCCGACCAATCAGAATGAAGTATTCCGGAGAGCTGCGTAATAGAGTGCATTAGTGCCCGCCCACTTTTTCAAGTATTTTTCTCCATACAAAATCCCCATAGGGATTTTAAAAAGTATTTGTTAAAGAGTTACAAGCCATGAACTGAGCCAACCAGCTCCGAGGAGAACCGTAACATTAAAAACGTTGATTTGAAGCCAAAAAAACGATGAAAATCAAACAAAAATACAAAAGGCACAAGACTTAACGGCTTCAGTGAGGAAAAGAACTACAATCCCATGAAGCATTGCAAATGACAATCGAATTAAAAACAGCTGATGTTATATATATATATATAAATGTATTTGTGTGCGCATGTACAGTATGTGTGTGTATGTATGGTTCAGCTGATTTTTTATATATATATATAATATATGTGTGTGTGTTTATATATATATATATATATATATATATACATGTGTATGTGTGTGTGTATGTATAAATATGTGTGTGTGTCTGTAAGTATGCATGCATGAAAATATCTATCTATCTATAGATATAATCAGTTTGTTGCATATGCATATAATCATATATTTAAGTATTTTGAGATAACGCGATTGTATCATTCGCAATGCTTCATGGGAGGGGGCGGAGTTAATGAGATCTTTTGACTCTGGTGGAATTTTCAGTAGAGCATCATGGGTAATGTAGTTTTTCACCACAAATTCTGCTGTTAAACACAATTATTTAAAAATAAAAATAAATAAGAAGCAAATACCGTGCATTGACAACCTCGTCACTCACAGTAGGGCCGTCTTTAAAGATTTATAAGTTATCGTTAAAAATCGATTTCCCTAAGGAGAGTTTTCACTTCCAGTTTAATTGTTGCAAAACTCTATTGACACACATTCACGCTTCTGTCTCACCTTTGTTATGTAGAATTTTTTCAAGCCGTCCACGAATGACGTGAACATGGAGGACACCTGCGGCTTGAGTGCATGACCTGTCAAAACATCGAAAACCTCGGTATTAATCACGCAATCATTTAGCGCACTTTTTTCAGGAGCTGTGTGCAGTCGTCGAAGCGAATGACTCTCGTGCTGCTCTAACGTCACCAACCTCGGGTTTCCCAGAGGCCTTTGTGTCAGATTTATTAGCGGTGTGAACAATAGCGCAGTAATGACTGGAGACACAAAGAGAGGGAAAGGCCGAGAAGGAACGCTGCACATAAATCATCCTGATAGCAGTTCCTCTGATAAGAAACACCAGAGAATCTCACACACACGCAGTCAGATTCACCGCAGAACCAACACAAGATCTCACTGACATGAATCAGTGTGTGAAATATATCACACACACAACAAGTCATGTCACGGATAGCACACTAACCAGTGTTGTGTTCACTTACACTTCCTGTCTCTCTCCATCACTTCCTGTTTCTTAGAACTGGCAATATGGTGACACTGTCAAATGGTAGTAATGTGTCATCTGGTAGATATTTGTTGATGTCTGTGGTACAAATATTTGAATAGCTATCAGTATTTATGCATGAAGACGACTAAGTTCTGTGAAAACGCATCCCAAATAAGTCAAGATTATTGCAGTTGTTTGTGGATTCTGAATAATGTCACAATAAACAACATTAAACTGATGTACAGGTTAGAGCTGTTTATACATTCGCAAGAGCTTCAAATGTGCGGAATTTAACTGAATTAACTTTTTATATTTATGACATAATAAACAAATAATTTCATTTACTCGTTATGTTTTATTTTATTCTTTTTAAACTCAAATGTTACAATGTGTTTATGCATGTTTGGACTTTAGTGTGAACTATCAAGTTAGTATAATAATAATAATAAATATAGCCGCAAGCAACGATACGGGGCCCAGACCCTGGAGGGTGTGCGGCTCGGTCCAAAAGACCATCTGATCTGAGATTTTAAACATAATTGGAAAAAAATTGTAGGAATAGTGGAATTTTATTTTTTTATTTACTTCAATATGGCGGACAGGCAAATAGATGGAAAGTGAAAAATGAGATATTGTAGGAATCAGTATAAACCACGGATCATAAGGACAATGAGAAAACAGTTTCAGACATGCCAATGATGATACCGATTGTCAAATCATTTAAAAGATATTGCAATTCATGTCGAAATTCAAAAATAGCGCGAAATGGTTCATCTGATCTTGACAAAATCGAAATCCACGTATTCGGCATGACTCAAGGAATCCATAAATGCCAAGATCATGATTCTGACAAACTATTTAAAAGTTATTAGCAAAAATAGCTACTTTTAATACGCTGTTCCCAAATTTGGCATGGACTCTCAGATCATGGTTCCGATAAAGAAAAAAAATGTATGGAATAGTAGCAAAAAAATATCGAATACCGTACTTTTCAAAATGGCCACTATTGTAAAGGACGGAGAATGGAAGATGTTGAACGTGGTCCACATGAAGAGAGGAATCAGGTGAACTGAGTTTCATTTTTCTAGATCAAACTGGTGGTGGCGCTATAGAGTAGGTACTAGAGAGCCCAAATTGGGTCAGATTTCTAGTCATTCCCATCACTACAAGAGTGCAAATTATCATTATTTTCCCACATACCGTTTATAGAGCCGCGATAGACTCCCATTCGGGAAGAAGAAAACTAACGAGTTCGCAAAAGTAGTTTTTTTGGACGAATCAAAATGGCAGCGTTGGAGCATCAAATCATCATATCAGAATGATTTCTGAAGGATTATGCGAATGTAATGATGTTGAATATTCAGCTTTGATCACAGGAATAAATTACATTTCCACATATATTCACACAGAAAACACTTACAATAATACTGTTATAATAAAAACACAATTTTACTGTTTTTGCTATATGCTATAAACATACTTATACCGTGACTTCATTTTCCTGTTTGACGCCAAGAGGTTCATTAACGCTTCCAAAGAACGCCAACAGTAACCAACGTCGCCCAATAGCTTAAGAGGACCCACACCTTCACGACGCTATACCCATAGATATCCATAATAAAGGCTAGATGTCAACATCCGCACTGGCGGCCATCTTGCCACAGGCAGCTCGCTCACTCGTAACATTGTGTTTTAATGGTGCATGTACTTTTTAAATAACCATAACTTGCTCAATTTTCTACCGATTTCCAAATGGTTTGGTTTGTCAGAGATGTAGTTATGACACTGCATACTTATGAATAATAAGCCATGTTAATAATGTTTGTAAGAAACCAAAACCGTTTGTAAATCCGTTAAGATTTCAACGAGATAAGAGTATTTGTGTTCGTGCTGATCACTCATCTTACATCAGAGGCCGCCAGAAAGCTTGCCTGTGACAAGATGGCCGCCAGTTATGACTCCGCCGTAAGACAACTAGCCTTTATTATGGCTATACCATTCAGAGATTACATGCGACCTTCTTCTGCTCGCCATTATAACGCAGATATAAAAAACAACACTTCTGGGCTTAAAGAGTGTGCATGCTGCAAACGGCATTATGGTTACAGAGCGCAGAGTCTTCATTAAAGAGTCGATTCATCTCTCTCAGAAGTGCACCGTGGATGAAAACACAGATCCGTACAGGAGTTAACGAGGTCCCTGGAGACGGGGAGCTTTTCCACATTTATCTGGCAACCCCTCACAGATTCCCCCACATCTCCACATGTAACGTCATCAACCCCGGCGGCACTGAGAGCTTAATTGCTGCCAGGGCCATTTTTCATTGTTCCTGAACCGCGTGTTTGTGCATTCGCTCGCAGCTCAGCTGGTAAAATAATGATCAATTTCACTTTCTGCGCGGCGACGCGAGCGGGGGTTCTCCAGAGATGAATCACACCGCGCCAAATTAAACCACTGATGTAATGAATACACAGAAAAACAACAAGTAATAAAAAAACAAAAACAAAGCTCTACAATGCTAAAATCTTGCAGTTCATCTCTGTGGAGTGTGATACGGAAACAGATCACTGCCTCTAAAGCCAGGACTGGATTGATTGTGGAAACTCTGCTTTTCATGTTTTTTCAACTCATAACACTCATGGGTAATGCATGTTATCGATATACAGCACGTCTGGATATTACGCAACGGTCAATGACTTTACAACTGCACACAAATACTAAATTGTCTAATTACACATTGATGCCACTTACAGTAGTTCAATGCGTTTGTGATGTCACAACTCACTCATGAATATTAATTAGGCTCTGTGGAAATAATTGGAAAAGTATGTATTGATTTGGAAATACACTATTGTTTAAAGTTTGGGATCAGTAAAAAAATGTTTTGAAAGAAATACATTCGTTAAGCAAGACATCAACTTGATCAAAAGTGACAGTAACGACATTTATAATGCTACAGAAGAATCGGTTTCAGATAAATGCAGTTCTTTTGAAGTTTTTTGAAAAAAAGATTGGTTTCAACAAAAATATGAAGCAGCACAAATGTCTCAACATGGATAATAATCAGAAATGTTTCTTGAGCAGCAAATCATCATATTAGAATGATTTATGATACATTTAAATATTTAATTCACAAATTAATATCTTCATCCTGGCATCCGTCACTGTCAGTTCCAGGATTTTGTAGCTCGGTAGAAAAATTAATCTGCAACTTCATATTAAATATGGTGTTGGTCCAGCAGTAATGTTTTCCCTTTGAGAATGACAGGTTATATAACTTCTATATTTAACAGAAATAATTTAGGTCTGAATTATGACAGAAGGGCTGCAGGACCATAATTATAATTTTTGCAATTACACCTTTTAAAGTTGCGGACACGTCGAGTATAAACAATGATTTACGCTTTAACCAATACTGTCCACAGTAATGCTCATATTAGCCAGCTAAACTTTTACCCTGTTAGAAAAAATATAGAGTTGCCTAGTTTCATGTGGTTCTTCTGTATTATGGGTTTGCTATGTGGGAAAACAATGTGCTGGTTACGTTTGTGAGACAATCAGCTGATTACTATTATTATATTATGAATTAAAACCCTTGATCCTCACCTGACTATGGCTTTGTAGGGGTGGGCGATATGGAAAAAAATATCATATCACGATTTTTTTTAGGAAAATCACGATCACGATTTTTTAATCACGATTCTTTTTCAAGTTGGTTTTAATATTTTGCAAGTGGCTGTTCATCACAGCCAAACTAATGGCCCTATGTTAAAAACAAAGCCTTAGGTAACAAAAGAAAAAAGAAAGGCATACATTTAGGCCAGTGGCAAAGATAAAAATCTTTGTCATTATTTTCTTTATTATTAAAAAAATAAGACAAGATAAACATTACACAAATTCATTTTCATATTAAATAAATAGTGCTTTATTTTTTCAGATGCAGTAGGTGTATTTAGCAGTAGCATTGAAGTAATTAAATGAACAAATATGAAATTAAAACACTACATAGACTTCACTGAATAAATTGATTCTTATTAAAGATGTATTAAAGTTCTCAGTCAGTGAGTGATTTTCTCCTTGTGTTTTTTTGTTTTGTTTTATTAACACTAAAGGGATAGTTCCCTCAAAAATGAAAATTGTCTTAATTTACTCTCTCAAGAGGTTTTAAACCCGAATAAGTTTCTTTCTTCTGTTGAAAATAAAAGTTATTTTGAATAATGTGGGTAACCGAACAGTTGCTGGTCTCCTTATAGTTTTTTTAATAGGTTCTCTCCTGTAAGTTAATGGGGACCAGCAACTGTTTGGTTACCCACATTAAAAAAAAAAAATGTCTTTTGTGTTCAGCACAAGAAAGAAATTAATACAGGTTTGGAACAACATTAGAGTGAGTAAATAATGACGGATTTTTTTTTTGTTTTTTTGTGAACTATCCCTTTAAGGACAAGCGGCAGTACTATTTATTCCTGTTGCTTTTAGACCAGCACGCGACGCGTTTAATATAGACGCATATTACACCAGATATTCTCTCAAATGTTTGCTTTCACTTTAGACATAGCCTGTTTATGTAAACATTGTGTGTATTTAACAGTA